GTTTAGTCAAAATTTTGATTGCTTTTAAGACCGGAAGTGAGCCTGAAAATCTTTCAATTATTTACATTTGGCTGCCAACTTTTCTAGACAGATCTTGGATCTTTGTTGCTGTTTACAGTTCCTTGATTTTTTCGCTCTTTTGTTTAAACTGCTTAGCAGCATCTGAGCTGATTTTTATCACATCTGTGTATTTAACAGCTGCATTTGACAGGCTTGGAGATAAAGTTAAGGATGTGATTGATGGAACTGAAGATCGGACTTTTTTGTTGACGAAGAAGAAGCTTGCTGAATGTGTGGACCTTCATAGTGAGCTGATTAAGTTGGCTGATAAGTCGAACATACTTTATGGACCATTCAGCTTGGCAGTGTTAGTGCTGATCTCAATGGGAATCTGTGTCTTTGGGATTATAGCTTTGGTGAGTTACATTTTGAGGATCTAAAGGATTTACCACAAATATTTAAAATTCAGATTAGCGACATGATGACCAAGATTGTGATGATTGTCGCTATCGTAGCTTCATTCATTGTCATTTCCTTATTTAGCATGACTGGAGATTCACTTGAGGATCAAGTAAGTATGCAGCTATCGAGATCATCTAGAATATCAATTAATTCAAATTTATTCTAGAGCATTCACAAACTTGATCCACAGCTGAAGAAAAGCTTAGTTTTGATGATTTCAGTCTCAAATCGTCCAAAAAGCATCTCAGCTTTGGGATTCTTTCAGTTCAACTGGAGGAGCTGCTCGGCTGTAAGTTGATAATTTTTTGGATTATTTTAAGCTTAACTTTGATTTGTCTACAGATTGCCCAGACAACGTACTCGTACTTGACGATTCTGAAGCATTTACTAAAGTTATAATTGATTCTAAGTTCCAAGGAAGTATTTACATACTTAAATGTTGAAATTTTTAAGGATATTAACTCAGCTGTTCGAATATTCATGATACTTAGAAGCATTAAAGCAATAAACTTTGTCTAATTGGAAGCAAAAGATATAAAATATTTTTAGTTCCTTTACAATTCTTATTCCGAACAGCCGCAAACTTTGTCATCATGCCGACATTCATTAAGTTCATTAAGTTCATTTTCCTGCTTTTTGGCTTTGATGTCGACAGCAAGTTCTCGCTTAATCCAAGAATCTCGAGAATCTTAAGAATCTGGAAGTTCCTAAACCCAACTTTAATGACAATTGGATCGACTCAGCTGTGGATTTACTTTTTTTTGCTATCGAACGGCAACACAATTATGGAAATTGCGTCGATAATCATGAATTTGCTGATTTTTGGTAACAGCCTTGCTGGATATTTGACAGTTGTTGCCACCAGGCAATCCTCAATCAAGCTAATCTACAAAATTGAGGATGTTTATCGCAAACTCACAACTAGCAATATTGAAGATGAAGAAATCGTCAAAAGAGCCTGTAACATTGGAATTAAACTCTTTGGTCTTTTATCAAGCATATGCAGCATGAATGTCGTGATGGGTTTAATAAAAATTCTAATTGCATTTAGGACAGGAACTGAGCCTGATAATCTGTCTATCATTCATATGTGGATGCCAGCTTTATTGATCAATTCTTGGCTTTTTATTGCCATTTACAGTTCTGTGAATTTCGCTCTTTTCTGTCTGAGTTGCTTAGCTCCTGCTGAATTGCTAGTTTGTGCGTCTGTGTATTTGATAGCTTCATTTGATAGACTTGGTGATAAAGTTAAGGATGTGATTGAAGGAACTGAGGATCGGCCTTTTTTAGAGACGAAAAGGAAGCTTGCTGAATGTGTGGACATCCACAGTGACTTGATTAAATTGGCTGATGAGTCAAATAAGCTTTATGGGCCTTATAGTTTGGCTTTTTTGGTGCTGATTTCGATGGGAATTTGCGTATTTGGAATAATAATCATGGCAAGTAAGCCATTAACTGAATTAAGGATTTATAAAACTAAATTTATTCCAGATTAGCGACCTGATGACAGGATTTTTAATGATTACAGCAATCTTTTCTTGCTTTGTAGTCATCTCATTACTCAGCATGACTGGAGATTACCTTGAAAATCGAGTAGGTTTAAGATTTCATTCTGATCATCCTCAAAATTGTCAATTTGATTTCTTTCAGAGCATGAAAATCGCTCAAGTCATCCAGAACATTGAGTTTTACAAGCTTGATCCACTCATAAAGAGGAACTTGATTTTGATGATTCAGGTCGCAAATCGACCAAAGAAAATATCAGCTTTAGGATTCTTTGAGTTCAATTGGAGGATCTGCTCGATTGTAAGACACAAATTTATTGAACTTAACTGATTATTAAGCTAATTGGCTAAATTGTCCACAGATTGCTCAGACAACTTACTCTTACTTGACTATTATGAGACGTTTACTGAAGCTTTAATTACGGAAGGCAGTCGAAAATTAAATTTTTTTTTTAAAATTATCAAAAAATGTAAAGTCATTCACCCAACCCCTACTGATTGTCAGCACATCCAATAAAGACAGTGAACCAAAAAATTCATGCAGAGTAAGCGGAAGGCAAAATTGCTGATATCAAATTTATATTTTTTAATTATGAATTTTTTTTTTCTTGCAGCATCTTCAATTTTTTTTTTTTTTTTCATAACTCATGCCTCGCTCCTTTCCCTTCTTTTATTACATCCCATTGTCTAGTTCTTTTTTTTCTTCATCGTCTTTTGTGCTCGTTGCCGCTGCTTTCTTTTCTTCTTTTATCCTTATCTCATTATCCTCGAAGATGAATTCATTACAACTTTTTTTTTTCATTATGTTTGAATATAAATGGGATATAGAATAGATATAATGTATGAATGAGATCTTGGGTGATGTTAATAGGGGGATGAGGGGAGGGAAAAGACAGAAGAAAGAAAAAAATTGAAGATTTTCGCTTTGTTTCTGGATTGGGATGAAGTTTGAGAGAGAAGTTGAGAAGTTGTGAAGTTTGGGTGCGCTAGAGCGCATTTTTTAAACCTAACCTTAAAACTCACCAACCTTAACCTAAAATTCAGCAACTAAACCTCAAAATTGAGCAACTTAACCTTAAAATTGAGCAACCTATTCTCAAAACTCAGCAACTTAACATCGAAATTCAGCCACTTAACCTCTTAAATCAGCAACTTAACCTCAAAGCTCATCGGATTAATCTCAAAATACAGCAACTTAACCTCAAAATTCAGGAACTTAACCTAAAAACTCAGCAACTTAAACTCAAAACTCAGCAACTTAACCTCAAAATTCAGGAACTAAACCTCAAAACTCAGCATCTTAACCTCAAAATTGAGCAACTTAACATCGAAATTCAGACACTTAACCTCTAAAATCAGCAACTTAACCTCAAAACTCAGCGGGTTAGTCTCAAAATACAGCAACTTAACCTCAAAATTCAGGAACTTAACCTAAAAACTCAGCAACTTAACCTCAAAATTCAGCAACTTAACCTCAAAATTCAGGAACTAAACCTCAAAACTCAGCAACTTAACCTCAAAATTGAGCAACTAAACCTCAAAATTCAGGAACTTAACCTAAAAACTCAGCAACTTAACCTCAAAATTCAGCAACTTAACCTCAAAATTCAGGAACTAAACCTCAAAACTCAGCAACTTAACCTCAAAATTGAGCAACTTAACCTCAAAATTCAGCAACTTAACCTAAAAGTTCAGCAACTTAACCTCAAAACTCAGCAATTTAACCTCAAAAATCAGTGACTGAACCTCAAAATTCATCAACTCAACCCAAAAATTCTACAAACCAAACTGCACAACCTCATAATCCACTTCCAATTCCCACAAAATCCCGCTCGTCTCGACAAAAAGAAGGCTCAGCATGATATTAAGAACAATAACAATGAATTTCCTTGCACCAGTCGCTACTTACATCTCCATCCCATCCATGACTCTTCCTTTTTCCTCGACTCTTAATCTTCTTTTTTGTGGATGACGAAAAAAAAAATTCATTCGAACAACAAACAATGAAAAAATTAAAATAAAAAGAATGCAGTCACATATTAACTAGGGGGGGAAATAAGATGCATAAATTTCTAATAATAGAGAAATTATGCCACGCGAATGAGATGAAGTGTCAGCATTTTCTAGGAGGATTGAAACTGTTTCTCCCTGAAATTAAAGTTACGTTTTGATTTAATGAATTTAATGTAATCGGGGTAATGAAAATGTTTTTTTGATACGGTTTTGTGGCTCGCGTGACTTTAAAGTGAAGCGTGGCGAAAGCGGTCCGGTTCGGTTGACGATCTTTAGGTTTAAATCAGAAGAAAGTGAGCCTAGGGTTACCACTGAGCACATTTTATAGATACCTTAGGATAAGCTAATGAAAGTATGGTTTTATAGGCGCTGAGGATGGACTAAGATTCATTTTTGGACACAATTACGATTAACTCAAGAAAGCCAAGCCCAGCTTACATCAATCTCAATCAAAAATCAAAAATGTCTCCCCGTGCGCCATTTTCAGGAGAGACAGCAAACTATTTCCCAAAATATGACGCACAGTATTCAAAAACAATAGTTTTTTACATAAAATTTTAACAATTTGGTCAACCTTGCTTCAAACTGCCTATTCTTCCTGATTTCTTTAATATTTCAGCTTGACAGTCATTAAACGACCTTTTATCAGCTGAAAACATCAAATTGCATTAATAAAAACTTAACGATTTGATCAAAAGTAGTTAATTACAATCACGACTTACTGACATGCTTCAAATTATTAAAGACTTCACTTTCATTTGCAAAACAAAAGCGGAATAGTTCAAAGCTTAAAACATTATGAAAATTGTTGTAGTTCTTCTGTTTTTGTGCATTTTTGTGAATTGTGACACAGATTTAAATAACAATTATGCTCAAATATTCACTGATTGGATGGCTCAATTTGGCAAATGCTTCAGCAATCAGCTTGAAATCATCAAAAGATTCGTAAACTTTGCTAAACATTACAAAATAATTTTGGAGCAAAATAAAAAATTCGATGAAAAAAAGTCACATTTCCAAATGGGCCTGAACCAAAGATCAGCAGACACGCCTCAAGAGAAGCTATCATGGCATGGCCTCAAAACTTGCGGATCTTATTCATCTGTATTAACAGGAAGGGATTTTGGACCAACTTTCGGTCCAGCACCAAAGAGCTTGGATTACCGATCAATGGGTTATGTGACTAATGTTAAGGATCAAGGTGATTGTGGCTGTTGCTTTGCATTTGCATCGATGTGTGCGCTTGAAGGTCAGATGGCAAAGAAGTATGGACAGTTAAAGTCTTTATCGGAACAGAATATCGTTGACTGTACTTATAATCCTGTTACTGGTAATTGGGGATGTGATGTGAGTATCTAAGGGAGCATAACCTCAAAATTTTTATTTTATAACCTCTAATTTTGCCAAATATCCTCAAAATTGGCGACAAAAATTAAAACTTTAGAATTTGATCTCAAAATTTTCTCAAAATTTTCGACATAACCTCAAAATTTTGTTACAAAACCTCAAAAGAATGTTCCATAACCTCAAAAATTGGCATTTTAACCTCAAAATTAGCAATTTAACCTCAAAACTATGAACATAATCGCAAAATTAGTTCAGTTAACCTCAAAATAAATTACATAACCTAAAAAAAAACCAAACCTAACCTCAAAGAAAATTCCAGGGTGGTTTCGCAGAACAAACATTTCAATATGTCAAAGACAACAATGGAGTAGCCAGCAGAGACTCATATCCATATGAAGGAGCCTTAGGAACTTGCAGATACAACCCAAAAAATAAGGCAGGAAATGCAACAGGTTTCCAGAAAGTTCAAGGAGATGAGGAGCTCCTGAAAAGAGCATTAGCAGCTGTTGGACCTTTGGTAGTCGGAATCAAAGCTGATATGGAGACGCTGTATGGCTACTCAAATGGAGTTTATGATGATTCAGGATGTTATGGTGATGTTAATCATGCTGTAGCGCTAGTTGGTGAGTTTAATGATTGAACTTACAGTTTATGGAGGTTACAAAGTTGAGTTTTAGGTTATGGAACTGAATATTCAACAGGAAAGCCAGTGGACTACTGGATTGTCAAAAATTCATGGTCAGAGTATTGGGGCGAGAGTGGGTAAGTTGACTAGGATGTGATTTACATCATAATTATTGGATATCATTGACAGATACGTGAAGATGATCCGAGGAGTTAATATCTGCAACATCACAAGCTATGTCGTCTATCCGTTAGTGTAAAGACAACTGAATAGTTTTGCAAAACTTACTGACTAGTGCCAATGTCAAATCGTGTAAAAATTTTAATAATTAAAATGAAAATTCACTTTACTTTTGTGGTTTTTGAATAAATATGTCAAGGTTAGGTTTTTACTTACCACGAGTGGATAACAAAGGCTGCTTTATTTTCTGAAATTAGAAAAAAATAGGAAAAATTTAGTTTATTTTGAATTTTGCTTTAGCTTAGATAAGAAGTTAAAATGAAGATTTTTGTAGTTTTGGTAATATTTGTGGCTGTTGAGATGGTCAAACTAGAGAAAAGTGTCAAAGAGAAGTTTTCAGACTGGATGGTGAGTGTCAAAATTATTTAAGAATTTTAAATTGAAAATCCAAAAAAAAATTCAAAAACCAAAAAAAAAAATAAAAAAAACAAAAAAATAAAAAAATCAAAAAATATAAAAAAAAATCAAAAAAAATTTAAAAACCTTAAAAAAATCCAAAAAATTTAAAATTACAAAAAAAAATCAAATTTAACCTCAATTTCAGTCCAACAACAAAAAGTGCTCCCTCAAACCCACAGAAATAGAAGCTCAGTTCACCAACTTTGTCACAGAACTCACAGTAGTCTTAAATCAAGAAGCAAAATTCTTATCAGGAAGGTCATTATTCCGAATGAGACTCAACAACAGATCCAGTGACTCTCTAGACGAGAAGAAGACATGGCTTGGCTTGAAAGTTTGTGATTCTTTGAGTGGAGAAATGACTGGTGCCAGAGATTTTGAATTGGAACTGAGTCCAGCTCCTGATTCTGTTGATTATAGAGAGTTGGGGTATGTGACTGAAGTGAAGGATCAAGGTGAGTTAATTGTGGTTCTATTGATCCCATTTCAAGCTTCCATTTAACTCTATTTTGACTCATTATTCAAAGGAAACTGCGGTTGTTGCTATGCATTTGCATCGATGTGTGCTCTGGAAGGTCAAATGGCTAAGAAGTATGGACAACTAAGTTCATTGTCTGAACAAAACATCGTTGACTGCTCTAAAGGATCATATGGTGGGAATTGGGGATGCGATGTAAGTATCCAGTGGGCGCATCTAGTCAAAGAGGATTTCCGCCCCAAATATTAACAAGTTTCAACAATTAATCTAATTTCGATCCACAGGGTGGCTTCGCAGAACCAACTTTTCAATACATCATCGACCAAAATGGTGTCGACAGTCTTGACTCGTACTCATATGAAGATGGTGAAGGAACTTGTCGATACAAATCCAAAAACTCAATCGCTAATGTCTCCGGATATCACAGAATTAAAGGAGATGAGGAATATTTAAAGCAGGCATTGGCTGAAGTCGGTCCATTGGTTGTTGGAGTTAAATCTGATTTGTACACATTTTATGGATATTCTGAAGGAATTTATGATGATGAGGAGTGCTATGGCGGGGTTAATCATGCAGTTTGCTTAGTTGGTAAGGACAAAGTTGTAGTTTAGTGAATTGACAGAGATTCTACTAGAATTTGCAAGCTTCTGGCTTAATCCAAGAGATTGACGAGTGCTACTTGCAATGATGAGTCATTATTGAACTGTGAAATCGAGAGTCGTTGATGATTGTTGATTACAGAAGACAATAATCAGTCTGAAAACTGTCGAAGTTGAATTCTATGTGAATCTTACTAAGATTTTGTATGTAGTCGAGTTGGAACTAGTTATAATCTATAAAAAATCTTAGTCAACTTCACTCTTTCGCGAATAGCACAAATTGGCTAATAGAATAGAAATCTGGGAGCAAGGAGACGTGATTCTAGACCAGGGTTGTGATAGAAGCAACTGTGCGCAAGTCAGAACCGTACAATTTCTTGATAATTTGTGGGATTTTATTAGAATTTTAATGATTTTATTTAAAAAAAACCTTATACATTTTCAAGGAATTGTACGGTTTTCACCTGTGCACAGGTGCCTGTATCGCAATCATGCTCTGGACTTAGATCGAAGCCAACACCATGCTATAGTTAAGCCAGCTTAATGCCAGACTTCTATTCGATTAACTGATTTATGCTTTTCGAGTTTGTATCAATAATTCAATTTTTTTTGCATTTTTTTAAGGTTATGGAACCGACAACTCATCTGGGAAACCCGTTGATTATTGGATTATTAAGAATTCTTGGTCGCCTTACTGGGGTGAAGATGGGTAACTGAATATAATGATTGTGGATGGTTCAGTTGTTTTAATACTTAATTCTGTCAAACCTTTTAGGTACATTAGGATCCTCAGAGGTGTTAATTTATGTAATATAGCCAGCTATGTCGTGTATCCGATTGTTTAAAAAGTCATCAAAATAAAATTTCTAATTTTTCAAACAATTTTAATTAATTTTTTCAGTTCTAAACATTTTTCCAATTAAAAACTCAATCAATCATCCTCAAAACCTTCAATTAATCATCAAAATCTCATCAAAAACAAAAGAAGAAAAAAATCCTCATTGTCTCAGCATCAGCATCAAGAGCAATTACATCGGGACATAAAAAACTTCATAACTGTACATAAAAAATAATTTCTCTCCCTGCTTATTTTTTTCTTTCGTTACCCTCAAAGCATTTTTTTATGTATAATTTCACCCCACAGCAAAAAAAAAGTTAATATATAAAAAACTGAGGGTAACGCTATTGAGCACCCAGCATCAGAGTCTAGGGATGGCTTATGTACATAGACACACTGTAAAGTGCAACACAAGCATGAAAAATTACTTTTTTCTACTGACTCGGAATAATAAAAATATCAATAATTTATTTTTTTCGTAATTAGTATTGCCATGTTCGCATTTTTCATTTCAAATTTCGATTCTTTTGTAACCAAAAAATTCTTTTTTTTCAGACTTGACGAATTTTTTTGATTCTCATTTCCACGTCCATTAATGACTCGTCCTGCTCATCGCTGTGTTGGTGTAAAAAAGAATGAAATTTAAATTCTTTTCTAAAATGATTTTGTAATTTATATTGAATGAAAAGGACTCACTTATTAGTGATGCAAAGGAAGGGGGTTGGGATGTTGTAATGAATGATTCATTTGGGATGCAAGAATGAGAAATGTTCGAGATGATGATATGAATTTTTGAAGAGGCGATTAAAGTTGATGAGGATTTTTTTTTTGTTTTTTTGTGAGTTTGTTGATGTGGGGGTGCATTGAGGGGGTCTATAAACAACTCATCTAGCCATGCAAACGATTATTGATGATTTTGCTAAATTTATGGACAGAAAGAACTCAATTTTGACTTATGCAGCTTGTAATTGGTTAAACAAACTTGATTTGACTCGATGGTTTATGATTGGAGTTGTCTTTGAGCTCTACAGTACAGGATTACTAGGTGATTTACAAATTTTGAGTCAATTCGATGATAAAATGAGAAATTGTTATGCATAACCACAAAATTAGTCAAATTTTTGCAATTTTGTTCAACATAACCTCACATTTTTGCAATTTTGTTCAACATAACCTCAAATTTCTGCAATTTTGTTCGACATAACCTCAAAAACTGTCAAGATTTTGCAAAAATGTTCAACATGACCTCAAATTTTTGTAATTTTGTTCAACATAACCTCAAATTTTTGCAATTTTGTTCAACATAACCTCAAATTTTTGCAATTTTGTTCAACATAACCTCAAATTTTTGCAATTTTGTTCAACATAACCTCAAATTTTTGCAATTTTGTTCGACACAACCTCAAAAACTGTCAAGATTTTGCAAAAATGTTCAACATAACCTCAAACTTTTGTAATTTGGTTCAACATAACCTCAATTTTTAGCAATTTTGTTCAACATAACCTCAAATTTTTGCAATTTTGTTCAACATAACCTCAAATTTTTGCAATTTTGTTCAACATAACCTCAAATTTTTGCAATTTTGTTCAACATAACCTCAAAAACTGTGAAGATTTTGCAAAATTGTTCAACATAACCTCGAATATTGTCAAAGTGCTGCAAATATGTTTAGCATAACCTCAAAAATTGCCAAGTCCTGCAAAATTGTTCAAAATAACCTCAAAAACTGTCAAAATTTCAAAATTGTTGAACATAACCTCAAAAGTTCCTGGAGTTATGCAACTTAACCTCAAAATCAGCCGTTTTTTAACCACTAAAAAACAAATAAAATCCATTAAATTTTAATTCCATTAATACCAATTTTAATTTTTTCATTCAATCCCATTTCTCCTCCTTTACTTTAATCAATATAAAAAAAATAATTTCGAATATTGAAAAAATCTCATTAATGGAAAAAAGAAGAAATTTTTTCAGCACATGCCATTCCCATCAATATTGATTAATGTGTACGGATCTGTAAGTTTGATTGTAAATTATAAATATTAAAATACATAAAAAATGATCGTAAAAATGTATTAATTTTTTTTTTGTTTTTAAATGGAAGTGAAAATATGAATTGATTTATTGGATTTTAGATTGTTAAAATTTAAAATATTAAATCTATTTATTAAGTCAAATCGCAATTATTACATTAAAATTGTAAATTTTTGTAAAAATAAAATTTTTTTAATTTTTTTATTTCTTCATTATTTTAATTTTCAATTATTTTAATGTTTTAGTTTTCGATTTTTTAACTATTTAATTTCTTTAACTTTTTGAATTTTGAATTTTTCTAAAATTTTACATCTTCTGAAATTTTTAAACATTTTTAATTTAAATTTTTAAATCTTTTGAAATTTTTAAACATTTTTCAAATTTAAAATTTCAAATCTTTTAAAATTCTTAAACACTTTTAAAATTTAAATTTTCAAATCTTTTGAAATTTTTAAACGTTTTTGAAATTTAAAATTTGAAAGCTTTTGAAATTTTTAAACATTTTCCAAATTTAAAATTTCAAATCTTTTGAAATTTTTAAACATTTTTTAAATTTAAAATTTTAAATCTCTTTAAGTTTTTTAACGTTTTTGAATTTTAAAATTTTAAATCTTTTGAAATTTTTAAACATCTTTTAAGTTTGTATTTTTAAATTTTAAATTTTTCCTCATTTCAATTGTTTTATTTAATTTATTAAAACTCAATTTGCTAGGAATTTGAAAAAATAAATCTTAAAAATCCGTCGTAGTAAAAAATCTTTTTGTTTCATTTTCCAAATAAAGTAACAAATTTTAATGACAAAAGACCTATTCATGAATCCATTCATTCTCATTTCCATATCTACAAATGAAAAAGTAACAACAATAAGCCCAGCGAATCACACCAAGTCATCCACATCTAGATCACACAAACATACGCACAAAAAAAATAATATTTAAAATTTCAAAAAAAAGAAGTAAAAATTTCTTACATAATGTAACAACATTAAGCAAATGAAGCACCACAGGCACCCAGATCTATATACTTTATCCCTTCCTGTCAGATTCCAGTTCCTTTTACGCATGCATCACACACAACCCTTCACGCACAAATTTTTATTACATCTTTTTTTTTAACTCATCGACTCTCATTTACGGCTGTGTAGCACCCCCGAGATATGTTTTTTCTGTACCCTTAAAAATAATTTTTTTTAAGTCTCTCGTGAGGCACACACATACTTATACATGCAGAACTCGACATTATAGTTTTTTTTTTGTTTAATCATGATAGGCATTAATAATGCATGAGGATGAATATGAAAATGATGAAAATTTATGGATGATTTTTATGAGATTCTAGGATGAAGTGAGCTAGTCTGGTAAACTAGAGATGATGAAATCTTATAAAATTCAATTTCAATTCTTTCAAAAATTAAAATTTATTTTTTCTTAGATTTTAAATCAAATCTTCAATAACTCAGGTTTTTAAGGTAACCAAGCTAGTAATAACGAGCCTAGTAAAGCTAGTAGCTACTTATTAAATCAATTCTCAGCCAATTGAAAGTCAAAATAGTGTCTAAGTAGCTGTAAATATTCAACAAAACAGAAAAAAATCGTCAAAAACACAAACAAACGTGACACCGAAAAGTGAATGAAATGTGCAAATTATTCAAGTCAATAAATATTCTGAATTTTTTGTTGGACTTTATAAAGAGGCTGTCAATAGGTTTTAGTTCAAAAAGCGGGAAATGTCTTGATTCCAACTCTGAAAAAGCGGGACAAACCAATTTTTCAAACATTTTCCAAGAATAATAGGTTCAAAAAATCGGAACATTAAGGATTTTAGGTAAAACATTGCTCAAAAAAGCGAGACTGTCCCGCTCAAAAGTGCGCGGTTGAACAGCCTTTTTATGATTCATTAATAGTCGTATAATCAGCAAGTTTGTCTGTGTGTGACTAGTCACTATTTGCTAATTTAATTAGAAGCTCTTTCTTTTAGGGGCTGTTCACTTATTACGTAACGCGAAAAAATTACTTTTTAGACCCCCCCCCCCTCGTAACAAAATTTGTATGAAAAAAAAATTTCCTTGTTTGAACCGTAACAAAATCTTAGACCCCCTCCCCCCCTAAAAGCGTTACGTAATAAGTGAATGGCCCCTTAGCTAATATGATAATTTGTTGACAGAGTTGGTTTGCACGAATGTGACTTCTTAATTCTGAATTTTAAGGTTCACCCTTAGATGCGTAGCTAAGAGGGGGAGGGGGGGGGGGACAATTCGGTCGATCCTATGATTCACGCCCATGTCAGAGTCACGCTGGATTTCTAATCGATTAACCGACTTTTGGTATTCGCGTCAGTTTCAAATAAAAAATCAATAAGAAATTAAAGAACTACAAATTATTTTCTAGCAACTCTGCATTTCATCTTTATTGATCTTTTCGGATATTTTTATTTATCATATTCGCTAATTTAAAACAAAACACAAGCTGCTGAATTTTACTGTTACTTATTAGCTGCCAAATATTGACGAATTGAAAGATTTTTGTATAAAAAGAAATTCAGCTTCAAAATTAATTGTCAGTTTACATTTAGAGAGTGTTCCAGCAGCTAGTATCTAAGATTGACTATTCTAAAATGAAGACGTAAGTGACTCATAGCACCTGATTGATACTCAAAATTCTAAAAAATTTTTTCATTTCCAGCCTCTCAACACTCATCCTCCTCACAACTTTATTCACATCATCACTCACCCTCAACATCACATGCCGGTTCACAACCAAAAAAGGTGACTATGCCTGTACAGTCACTAAAATCGTAGCTTCATCACCAACAGACACAACAGTTACATCAGTTGATGGACGTCAGCAGAAAGACAAAACCACGGACGATGTGAAAATCTTTGAAGCTCGCGGGAAAAATCTTAAAAGATTTCCATTGGAACTGGGAGCATTCTTGCCAAATTTAGAGGTTATAGCAATTGAAAGAGGATTGACTGAAATCCATAAGGAGGATCTTGAACAGTTTCCAAGTTTGAGAAAGTTGTACCTTAGCAAAAATGAAATTCAAGACATCGAATCTGAATTATTTGTCAACAATCCAGAACTTGAGTTGATTTTCTTGGGAAATAACAAGATTAAGTCAGTCGCAGCTGAAGTCTTTGATGGATTAGAGAATCTACAGCATTTAGGATTTGAGAGGAACAAGTGCTTTACAGCAGCTGTTGAGAATAACCGCGATGGAGTTCTCAAGCTTATTCAGAATATTTATCAAAAGTGCAGTACGGCTGCTGTGTCGATAGGATCTAGTATAGGTGCTGCAGCTGGCACAACAACCATCAACTCCACAACAGTTGAGTCAACAGGTGAAGAAGAAGAGATACCTGAAGAAACTGAGGAAGAAGCTATCAAGATGAGCTGAGCTGTTATAAAAATTGAATAAAAATTTCAAAACTAGTTTAATTTGTGCTTATTAACTCCATTTAACCAGGCGAGTAGCTAGGAGGGTATTGTCCCCCTCTTAAGCGTTTTAGGCTGTGCTCTCGCTGAGTTTCAAAACGTCTAAGGGGGGACAAGACCCTTCTGGCAACGCGCCTGCATTTAACCCACAAACTATTGGGGGCCGTTCACTTATGACGTTGGGGACGTTCACTTATCCAGGGGGAGGGGGGGGGGGGGGGGGGGAGGAGGGGTTTCAGCAAGAAAAGAACACTAGAAATTCCTGGAAATCAATTGTTCTTTTTTGAAATATGACCTTTAATTTCTGACGTCATAAGTGAACGACCCCTTACCAAACCAGTGATGGTCAACCTAATAATGTGTGAAGGGCCCAGCCTTTCAGCTGGAGGCACTGCGATTCAAATTAGAACAGAATCTATTGTACCACTGATGGTCAACCTAAGTGCTACGAAAAAATTTCATGAAATCCCACAAACCGTAAGCTTTTTGCAGTTTTGATCATGGCTTAAAATTAAGGTGTGTCATGACCCAAAAAAGGTTGGTCACCACTGTTCTAAAAATTCAGTGTTTCTTAAACTTTTTATTCCTCGGGGCAGATTATATTTTCGCGCTATGCTGGCAACCACTAGCAAGAAAAAAAAAACCTACGTGGAGCAAAGTTTGAGAAGCACTGTGTTAAATATTGAAATTAAAAATGACCTCTCTGACTATATAAATTGATTATTCTATTCGCATTTATAAGCAGTCGATAGTGAACATGAGAATGTAAGGCTTTAAAATACTCAGCATTTTTTATTATTTAACTTTTCAATTATTTCAGGCTTCTTGTTCTTCAAATCTTTGTGATTTTTGTCACTCAGGCTTTTGGTGTGAAAATATTTTGTGATTTTTTAACAAACTCAAACACATGTAAAGTCACAGAATTTCAATTTGCAAGTACAAATGACCAAATAGTTACAAATGTTTATGGACGATTTCGCTCGGGGATGTCAGAAAGTGATGTAAAAATTATCGATGCAAGAGATTTGACTATTCGCAGATTCCCGCTCAATTTGAATAAATTCTTGCCACATCTTCAGACAATTTATTTCGAAAAAGGAATGACTGAGATCCACAAGGAGGAACTGGCACAATATCCAAATCTACAGCAACTTTACTTAAGTACAAATGAAATTGAAATTGTTGAGCCTGATTTATTCATCAATAATCGAAAATTGCGACTAATTTACTTGAATGCCAACAAAATTAGGTCAGTCGCTCCGAATGTGTTTGATGGATTGGATAAGTTGGTATTCTTAGGATTCGACGCTAATGTTTGTCACTCGGGAATTGCCGAAAATGATTTTAGACGTGCAGAAGAATTAGCAAAGAGCATTTACAAATATTGTGCTCTGGCAGTGCCAACAACCAGTGAATCTTGTGTGCCAAAGAAAGAATTTGAGGACTTCCGACTAGAAATGAAAGGAGATTTTGGTGACTTGACTGAACAACTACAGAAATGGCGGGTGGAGACTGAACGTTATATTAAAATTGGCGTTGAAAGTTGTGCTGCTGATTGAAGATTTTATACATTTTTTCGGTCAATAAACTGATTTTTTAATATTTTTTTATTTTGTTTTGGATTTTGTCCCAATTTTGACTTCTTGTTTCATTCCCTTCCTAATCTTCCCCCCCCCCCCCTTACCCTTAATAAAACGACAAGCTCAACATATTCATTAAGATTTTTCTGATGATTTTCAATCATTTATAGCTTGAATGTGTACGACTTCGGTCATGGCTTACTCATAAGGCAGTGATGGCCAACCGATGTGCTACGGCACACAATTCTGCAGGGAAAAATTTAAAAAAAAAATCCCGAATCGTATACCGTATTCGGTTTCTGTCATGAATTATCATCAGAAGTGCCGTAACACAAAAAAGGTTGACCACCACTGCCATAAGGTGTGCTGTGGATCAAAAAGTTTGGACAATACTGCTAAACAGCAACAATTCATTTGCATAAAATAAGCATTATTTCATATGTAAATTAATATTTGTTAATTCATCAACAAATGGACTATTCACTTAGTACGTAACCCAAAAAACAAAACTTTTTAAAATCAAAGCTCTAGAAATCATTGAAACCTCCTCTGAAATGTCATCAAATCTCAAAACCCCACCCACCCCCACTCCCCCTCCATAAAAGCGATACGTCATAAGTGAACGACCCCAAACAGGTTATTTCAAGTCAAACAGTTTTTTTTGCCAAATAATTTACTTTTTATATAGTTACTTGTACTGCAGACTTGAAGCTTAGTTGAAGACAAAAGTATCAATTATGAGGTAGCTTAGCTGAATTCTGACATTTTAACAAATTTTTAAAAATAATTTTCCAAGGTTCCTTCTTCCAATTTCGATCTTAATTATCACATCAGCAAACTGTCTAGTAATTGACTGTGACTACAAATCAACATGGGCTGGCTACACTTGCGTAGTTCAAAATTTAATCAGATCATCACAAAGTGACGTGACTGTAACAGCAGTGAATGGAAATCATGCAATAGGAAAGTCCAAATTCAATGTAGCTGCAATTGATGCACGAGGACTCTCAGTTCCACGATTTTTTGTCAATCTGAACAGATTTTTACCAAACTTAGAGACAGTCTTGATTGAAAAAGGAATGACTGAGATCCACAAAGAGGAATTGGCTCAGTTTCCAAGCTTAAAAAGGCTTTACTTGAGCAATAATGAGTTGCAAGTCATTGAACCTGATTTATTTAAATTTAATCAAAAATTGGAGCTGATTTTTTTTGACAACTGTAAAATTAAGTCAGTCGCTAGAAATGTTTTTGATAAATTAGACAGCTTGACGTATTTGGGATTCAATAACAATCCATGCTACTCAGGACATGTTGAGAATAATCGTGGACAAGCTTTAGATTTAGCTGCAAAGATTTATGAAAATTGTGGTTCATCAATGGCAACTTTTAGTGGATATGGAAGCGAATCTTGTGTCGCAAAGAATGATTTTGGAGATTTCAGAGTGGAAGTGAGAAGAAAATTTGAGGAACTGAGTAAGAAATTGGAGCAGCTGATGGATGAGACTTCAAGATATGTGAAAATAGCTAAGGAAAGTTGCGATACTGATTAAATTCAAATATGTACTCAATTGCCAGACAGCACTAAACCACATCTACAGAACAAAACTTCAACAAGCCCATCTACAACACACACACACAGCTTAAAATCAAATCCAAAAAAAATCAGAAAAAAATAAAAAAGGCACTTTTTGGATTGGAGGCCCGAGCCATAAAAAAAAATCTACATAAATTAAACACCATAATATTGATTTAATAATTTGTTTTTCACACTTTTCTGACTGATTAAGTGAGCATCATTTGCATAATCACCGCAGTGCGATCTCCGTTGAGTCTTAAACCAAGCCTTAAAAAATATAATATTATTTCTGTTGAAACACACAGCAAACGAACGACGAACGATATGAAAATGAAGATGAAAAAAAAAATTATTTAAATATCGACAAATTTTTTATTTTACATTCGGGTCTGTTGTGCTGTGTGTGCGGAGGATTTATCAATAAAAATTAAAATTAAACGAATTTTTTAACACTTTCGATTGCTCTTCATCTTGATCCGCTATGTGTGGTTCGCTGACTCGCCTTCGAGATTGGATTATTAGTGCAGGGTTGGAGAGCAGATTTTGGGGAGATTTTATTGTGCTTTTTTGAATATAAAGTAATTTTTTTCAACCCCTATAAAAATAATAAAAAATTGCCGTGCGTCAGTTTTAGGGAAAACAGTAAACTATTTCCCTGAATAAAACGCACGTTTGTGATTTTTTCTGCTCTAAGTTTATTAAAACTGTCCAACAAACATGGCTATGCGTCAGATTTGATAGAAAACTGTAAACTAGTCCCTAAAATATGACGCACACTTTTAAAACTTTATATTATTTCACTTATAGCTTTTTTTAGACGATCTCTGAACGCTAAATTGAGCTTACTTGCTTCCCATCCCAGCAAAGTATAATTGGATACCAACCTCAAATCCCAACCCTGCCCCTTCATAATCTTCGACAGAATTTCTTTTCGAATGTTTGTTTATTTTCCTTTATTATGAAGTATTTTTATTTAATTTTATGTCTTTTAGATTCACATTTTATTCAAAAATTATGCCTTTTTTTTTTGATATTTTACAAGAATTTTTAATAATGAAAACAAATTGATGGCCTCGCTTGACATTTCTTTCAAATTAATGGACAGCAAGTTGAGTTTGATTTCATTGAGAGAAATTTTTAATGTGGCAACTTTATTGATCTCTTCATTATTTGAGTATTGCATTATAATGATGTCATATTCTGAGGAATTGGAAGGTAAAATTAATTGAGTTAGACTTGTGATGGAAAATGAAGGTTTTGGAAGTTTGAAATTAAAATTTGGAATTTTCATGCGTCATATTTGGGGGAGAGAGTAAACTATTTCTCAAAATATGGCGCACGGTTTTAAATTTCTTCAATTTTCTTGAAGTTTTTGGCAACTGAGTTGACAATAAGACAGAAGATTATAAGTTGCAGCATCTCAGCTCCTCCCATTTTGCTATTTAAGTCATCAAATCTATTGCAGCAATCCACCATCCTCAAAATATTTACTTTCCTACACCTTTCATCGTCAACAATCTCATCAAAAATTCCATACAGTCATTGTCACCATAACTTAGTTCAATTAAATATCGACAAAATATTTATGATGATGGAAGTTAATGCGAATGGAATTGCCATTTATACAGCAATATTGCGAAATTATTGGAGATGTTCTTTGTTCTTTTCCTCGCTTAATTCCAGGCTAATGGCTTGTTTGTGGCATATCTATGCAGATTACTCAATCAACTGAGTCGATTGTCGATAAATTGGAATTTTATCTATTTTATTTTTCATAATTCTAAAAATATTTTGCGAATTTTTGATATAAAATATGAAATTAGATTGTCATTAAAATTCCAGCATGGATAATCATATTAAAAACAGTACAAACTTCATGAAATCATCATAAATGATTCATTTTAATGCTCGAGCAACATAAACAGAATCCAATTTGTTGAAGCATCAATATCAGTAAGCAGAACATGAATTGAAATTTAAAAGAAATAATAAAAAAAAACACGATATGAATATTTATGAGATGGAATATTTTGTTGACCACTTTTTTGTAAGAAGTTAATGAGTACACGGAGTGAAATTTTTAGGGGTTTGAGGTTAGGTGATAAGATTTGATGATTGTGAAGAGTATTGAATGATTGAAGGCTGGAATAGAACACTTATAAGTTTAAGCAATAGATAGATATCTGACCAAACAGTCTAGTTGAACTAAAAAGAACACCATAAAGCTTAAATACGCTATGTAATTCAAAATTTAAAATACAAAAAAAATTCAGCTCATGCGCCATTTTAGGAAGACAGTAAAATATAGCGCATGGGAAAAAAATATTAAAAAATTTCACAAAAATCATTAATAAACTAAAACTTTGCATTGAAAAGACCCAAGCATCAGATTGTGAGAGACAGTAAACTGTTTACCTAAATATTGCGCACGACAATTTTTTTTGCATCTTATATTTTGGCTTAAAGTCGTCATTAATATTTGAGCCAGTTATGCAAATTTCACTAGAAAAAAAGATGAAAAGTGCATCAAAATTACCGAGAATAAATCTCACAATTCCCTCGACCACCCGCACCCCTGATAAATTCCTTCAAAGTGTAAAAGAATCTTTAAAAGATATTTTTAATTCCTCTTTTATTTTATTTAATTTTTTTCACTTCTCTCATTCTCCTTTATGACCACTTTGAAGGCGACAATGATGACAATGTTGATGGCTTTTTTTTTAACTCTTTCCATTTCCCTTCCTCACATTTTTTTTGTTAATTAATGCAAGTTGATTTAAAATATATTGGCATTTCTTATACAAAAAATTCTAAGAAGAAAAGAAGTTGAAGGAACGATATGAGGAACAAAAAGATATTTTATGAGCATTTTTTTTTCTTTAATTCTCCTTCATGAATATTTATGAAGATTTAATTTATGTGAAATTTTACATTAAGAATAAATGTGGATTAACGTTTGGATCATGAGGTGAGGTTCAAGATTCTTTTCTGGGAACTGGTTAGGTAGGAATTCATATTTTGTTTATGATGATGAGGTTGAAGGTCAAATGGGATGAATGAAGAGGATTTTATTTTGGAGTTTTTTAATTTGTCACGTGCGTCATATTTTGGGAAACAGTTTACTGTCTCTCTCGAATATGACGCACGTTGTGATTTATTTTATGGATTTTCAATTAAGATTGAGGTTAGAATTTTTAACTGTCGGGATTCTAACCTTAAATTTTAAAAAAATTATGGATTTCAACCACATATAAGATCACAACCGCGAATTTCACTTTAATTGATGACCAATGCTTCCAAAAACATATGCAAATACTAATTTGATCACAATATACGACAAATGCCTCTTAATATCCCCACATCCATGTAGGCTAATGACATAATAATCAAAAAAAAATTATCAAAAAATATTCATAAATTTCAACCTCATTTCCCGAACATCACCAACCCACATAACCGTAAATTAATTTAAATATTTTTACCTAATTTTATTCAAATTGACCGTCAAAATATTCCTAATAAAGTCATTCAAAAAAATTATCAAATTGCAATTTAAAGAAAAAGACAAAATTTGCATTCATTAAAAAAATCCACACGAATTTCCTCTGAATGAAGCTAATTTTTTATTCAATTTGTTAAAAATTTATCGATGTCGATCTACTTAATATGAAAATATCTCTATGATAATTTCAAATCTATGAATAAATGTTCAATAAATTCAATGACAACTAGCGATCACACGATGAATTCAAGACACATAATAAACATACAAATGAGAAATGAAATGCGATGAAGAGAAACAGTCGTTAATGAATATTTAAGAGAGCTTGAGATCGGTTAGAGCTTACTGGCACTTTGGGTAAGGCTTGCGGTTTGAATTCTAACCTCGAAATTGTAATCTTTCTGAATTCTTACCTCAAAATTGTGAAAACTTTGGATCTTAACCTCAAAATTTTGAATCTTTTGGATTTTAACCTGAAATTTGTGTATCTTTGTGGATTCTTACCTCATAATTATGAACATTGTGAATTCTAACCTCGAAATTGTAATCTTTCTGAATTCTAACCTCAAAATTGTGAAAACTTTGGATCTTAACCTCAAAATTTTGAATCTTTTGAAATTTAACCTCAATTTCGTAAATCTTTGTGGATTCTTACCTCATAATTACGAACATTGTGAATTCTAACCTCGAAATTGTAATCTTTCTGAATTCTAACCTCAAAATTGTGAAAACTTTGGATCTTAACCTCAAAATTTTGAATCTTTTGAAATTTAACCTCAATTTCGTAAATCTTTGTGGATTCTTACCTCATAATTACGAACATTGTGAATTCTAACCTCGAAATTGTAATCTTTCTGAATTCTAACCTCAAAATTGTGAAAACTTTGGATCTTAACCTCAAAATTTTGAATCTTTTGAAATTTAACCTCAATTTCGTAAATCTTTGTGGATTCTTACCTCATAATTATGAACATTGTGAATTCTAACCTCGAAATTGTAATCTTTCTGAATTCTAACCTCAAAATTGTGAAAACTTTGGATCTTAACCTCAAAATTTTGAATCTTTTGAAATTTAACCTCAATTTCGTAAATCTTTGTGGATTCTTACCTCATAATTACGAACGTTGTGAATTCTAACCTCGAAATTGTAATCTTTCTGAATTCTAACCTCAAAATTGTGAAAACTTTGGATCTTTACCTCAAAATTTTGAATATTTTGGATCCTAACCTCAATTTTGTGAATATTTGTGAATTCTAACCTCATAATTTTGAACGTTGTGGATTCTAACCTCGAAATTGTAAAATTTCTGGATTTTAACCTCAAAATTTTAATCGTTCTGGATTCTAACCTCAAAATTATGAATCTTTTGTATTTTAACCTAAATTTGGTGAATCTTTGTGGATTCTTGCCTCATAATTATAAACATTGTGAATTCTAACCTCGAAATTGTAATCTTTTTGGATTCTAACCTCAAAATTGTAATCTTTCTGGATTCTAACCTCAAAATTGTGAATTATTTAAATTATTACATCAAAAATTCAACAAAATTCGCCTTACTCTCGCCAATCTTGATCCTGTCATCCAAAAAACGTCATGATCCCCCCCCCCCCCCCTCCCCCAAAAAAACCAAATAAAATTAAGAGAACGAAGAAAAAAACTATTATTGATGTTTATAATTTTTTATTTATAACAAAATTCTAATTTTATCGATTTTTAATGCCATAAAAATGTATTTGAATACACAAACAAGCAGAGACGAAGATGAAGATGAAAGAAGATGTTGGAATTGAGGTGTGAGGAGAACTATTTAAAAAAAAAGCTAATCAGAAAATGTGTGTGGCTGAAGATTATTTCCATTAATTTGTGTTTTTTTTTTCTTGTGTCCAGCAACAAAAAAATCTCATCCGCATTTTGTTTCTCATTAAAACATTTTGATCATCAAAAAAAGAATTCTGTGATTCACATCCATCTGGTATCATTGAAATTGATCAGGCGTGGCTGCGTGCTTAATAAATTTCATTATTTTGTTGGGCTGGTTCAGCTTTATCTTTTATGAGGTTTTTTTTAATGACTCAACTTAGAAATCATATTGAAGCAACTTGTAATTATTTATTTTTATTTAATTTGCTAAAATTTACATTTTTTGAGCATTTTAAGCCTTTGCAAAATCACAATAAATATGATTAATATATAAATGAGTAAATAATCCAGTAAATATGAGATAAAATACGTGAATAATAATTAAAATAAAGTTTGATGATTAAAATAAGTTGAGTAATTTAAAGTTTTAATCATGTTGAGGTTGGTCAGGCATCTTTCAAGTGCTGAGTCAAGCTTAGTCAGCTGTTCACATTGCAAACTGATTGTAGATGATGAGAACAATATTAAAGAGACCCAAAATTGAGCTGATGACTATTATGATGTATTTGGAGACATCTTGTCCTGTAAAGGTCTTCTCGTCATTCGTGTTATTTGCTTCCTTTCCTGTTGTGTTGATGATCTTTATTTGGTTGAGTTCCGACTTGCAACTAGCGAGAGCAGTTTCGATTGATGACATTTCATCCTTAACTGTCCAGATGGTTTTAGACTTCCAACTCGTAATTGCCTGGAATCGTTCCTTAAGAGGTAAATACTGTGAGATTGTTGAGTTTTGGAATCGACTTTGAAGTTTTTGGAGATTTTGATCAAAAATTGGAAGTGATTCGGAATTGACATAAAGCAGTGAGTTTTCTAGCTTTTGGAGTTCTTTGTCAATTCCTGAATAGCTTAAACATTTTGACTTAGCTTGACTGATGACTTCTTTCACTGCTATTTGATTGTTGACAGCATCCATGTCGATGCATGTGTTTCCATAAAGCAACAACCAAGTCAATTTATTTAAATTGTCAAAAACTTGTGAGCCAATGTGAATTATTTTATTGTAACGAAAGCTAACAAATTCCAATTCTGGATTATAAGCAAACAATCCGTCCTCAAGAAATTCAATGTCATTTTGATACAAGCTAAGAAGCACCAACTTTGTAAAAGGCTTCAAATCACTTTGCTGAATTTCCTTCAGACGACCAAAGACGATCACAATCATTTTGAGATTAATGAAAATATTGTCCAAATTACGCGGGAAATATTCGATGACATAAGAGGAATCCGATGACCAAAAACCAGTCACATCAGCATTGCTCTTGCCACTTGAATGACTTCCATTCACTGAATTAATTACAGCTGATTCTCTTGATTTTATGTTGAGAGTATTTTGGAGTCTGCATTGATAAACATCACCAACAGCTATCCAAGAATCAGTTCCATATTTGCATTGAATATCGACCGAGTCACCAAATCCACTCAGCATAGCAAAGCAGGCAACAAAGCTAAGAATTGATATAAGTTTTTGACCTCGTCTCGAAAATTGAATAAAATAACAAAAATTTAAACTTACATAAAAACTTCCTTCACTGCCATGTTTTGAATTTTTGTTCAAGTAAGCTGGTTAGCATGCGTCTTCACTTTTCCACAATTTACTATTTTAATTTTATTTTATAAATTTTAATAACGTTTTATTGTTCAACAGATGACTTTAAAATGATTCAAATTAAATTTAATTACAGAGTTTTGAATTAATTTAATGCAGTGTTTCTCAAACTTTTTTTTTACGAGAGGATTTCAAGAATTGTGGATCTACATTTGAGTAGCAATACAAATTAACCCCACCGCTTAATTGCAGTGATGGCCAACCCATGTGCCGCGACAAAAATTCGAAAAATACCTCCAAACTTATGCTGTGTATTTTTTCAGTCACAGCTTCTCATCAAGCTGTGCAGTGACGCAAAATGGTTGGTTACTACTGGCCTAAAGCCTTGAAAAAACCCACAAAAATAATCAACTTCCTGACTAATTATCGCTTACAATTCCTAACCTAACCAAAAAAACAAAAAAAAAATTTAAAATTCCAGAATCAACATGAGCAGCAAAAGAATCTGCAGACTACCAACTGAGCCACTTCCTTTGTTAAATCGATGTGACAGGAAAACAAGCAAATTAAGAAATTGTTGAATTTTTGGTTTGCTGGGTGTTTGACATGAGTCATAAAATGACAATGAGTGTCATAATGAGGCATATGATGTATATTTTGAGTCTGAATTAAATATGATTGTTGACTAGCTACTGTTTTAGTCATCATTGGTAGCACAGCTGATGTTTTTTGATATATAATTATGTTGTGGGGTCGTTCACATATGACGTCCAAAATTAACGGACATTTTTCAAAAAAGAACAATGGATTTCCTGGAATTTCTATTGTTCTTTTGTTGATTACCTGCCCCCCCCCCCTGGACGTCATAAGTGAACGGCCCCTATCTTGACGAACATACTCATATGTGGTGAATATGACTAAGCTGTGCATGCAAACTTAATGAAATCACAGCTAGCTCGTAGCTTAGATTGACAATTTCTCTATAAAATTAAGTCATGCACTCTAATTTCCATAAATAATCCAAATGATGTCATAAGCAGCCTCATCAGCTCTCACATTACTCACATAATATCTTTAAAATATAATTCAAGGGTTTCACTTTCAGGAAAATCCAGCAGCAGCAAAAAAAAGTCTTCCCCTTCATACCTCAAAACCATACCAAATCGCTGTATATTATCCCTGAGTAGCAACAAAAGAAAGTCCCGTGACCACTTAAACACTTCCTTTCCACTTTTTTTTTGTTGTCACAAAGGCACAAACTGGTTTCATTTCTCACATCTCAATGTTCTAGGATGCAGACACACAATACTAGTTCCGCGCGACAAAAAAAAAATCATTTTTGAACCCTTTTTTTAAACTTTTTATTGTGTCAAATATGAAGGAATTTTTGTATGCAAATGAGATGTTGGATGGCAGCAAAAAATGAAAGTTTGTGAGACATGAGAACTTACCACGTTCCACGAGATTTTTGAGGGACTTGAGGAAGGGATGCAATGGGATATTTATGAAGATTCCACGTGCTGGAGTTTGATGTTTGACTTTTTATGACAGTTTAGATTGTTAAGGAGATTATTAGTTATGAGGTGGGATTGGTGGCACGTGGTAGGCGCCTAAGATTCAGTTTGAGTGAAAAAAACTAAGGTTAGTCGCTTATTGCAGAATCCAAAACTGAGATTCAGTAGTTTTCATGAACTTCTGATTGTGCTGCGTAGTTTTGAATCAAGTTGTGAGCACCTTGAACTATTATCATAAAAACTTGGCTTAACCGATTATTGCAGAATCCAAAACTGAGATTCAAAGTTATTTGACTCAATCTCTCACCGAAATTCTGGTTTTTCTTGCCAATTCTCCAGACAATCTATCCATTCAATTTATAATCATCCAAGCTAAACAGTACATCACCTTTATCTCATTCCAAAACTATTTTTACGACATACAATGACAGCATAGAGGCGGTCAATAGCCACACAAAATATCGTAAAACAAACTCTTCATTGATGACTTTTATTCGTTTTTAGAATGGAATGAGAAGAAGAAGAAGAAACGGAAAAAAATTCATTCATAAGTTTCAGCTTGCGGGCAAACATTAAGAATGAAATCATGTTTTTTTGGGCTCGTCTGACTGATATTAAAAAATATTTATTTATGCTGCGCGTAGATATTTTTTGTGTGTTTTTTGAATGGATTGAGAGGAATTTTTGGGGGATTTATGGGAAGTTGGTGTGATTTTTGAAGATTCTAACCTCAAAGTTTTAAATTTTGACCTCATAATTTTAATAGGTTTTGAATTCTTACCTGAAAGTTTGAATGACTTTTTAAATTCTAACTTCAAAGAATGCATGATTTTTGAGTTTTTACCTAAAACTATTCACAATTTTTTACTCTTACCTCAAATAAATCTTCGTACTCGAAATTCGAGCTAACTTCTCACATCTCATCCACAATCAAAAATCTGTACCCGTGACCAAACGCACAAAAGGACAGGAAGAAAGTCTCTTAAAAAATGCCATAAAATTAATTTAACGAGATCAAATTTATGTGCCTTTTAAGATTTAAAATTAAGATTAACAAAAAACACCTTTTTCTGATGATTTGATTAACAAAAAAAAATGTTATGATTAAAAATATTTTAAAATTCATCGATCGTAAAAGAAAAATTGTTGAATAAATTTTAAATTTTTATTTCCGATATCGAGGGTCTCCATGTTGTCTGTTAATTCGAATCTATAGAGTTTGCTGCCCACTGAGATTTCTTTAGTATTGTAATTAAATAATATGATAGAATTTGAGATGAACGGGAAATCGAAATTTGTTCATGGCGCAATTTTTGGGAAATGGTTGACTCCCAAGATGACTGAATTATTCGAAATGACCGGTTTTTTTTCCAAAAGGTCTACATTTTATCCAAGATGACTGAGCTTCCCCCAAGAAAACAGATTTTTTTCCCGAGATGACTGAATTTTTTACAAGATGGTTAATTTTTGGAAATGACAGATTTCCTGAGATGACAGAATTTTCCTAGATGATTCAATTTTTCTGAGATGACTCAATTTTACCAAAAATACTAAATTTTGTCAAGTCTTAATAAATGCATCAGCATCTCGTAAAACACAGAAAATTCTCAATTAAAACTAATTTCTCAATAAAAAAAAATATCTCAAAAAAATTTATCAATTTCACACTTTTTTCAGCATCACGTGTGACTAAAGCCATCTCATTCGACACATAACAAATGAAATTTCATTAAATTAACCATAGGAAATGATCGAAACAGTGTGAAGAACTTCACAGCCACAAGAATCTTATAAGAATTAATTCCATCAATTAGAGACCCACAGGGAGGTCTCAATCACACAAAAAAAGTATATTCTTAATTCCTTTTAATTCATTTAATTCCACATTTGTGTCTCGTTCATCGATCGAGATTGAAATTTTTTTCTGAAGAAAGCAAAGACCAAGAGAAGAGAGACGTTGTTGTTGTTATTTTGGATATTAAAAAAATATATATGAATGTACACAAAAAATACATAAAAATTAAGCTCATAAAGAGGCGAGAAAAATTCATTTGAATATTATTTTAATAACACAAAACAGAAAATGAAATAAAAGTTAAAAAAAAGTGTTTGAAAACACAGGAAGATCAACAGCAATAAGAGCATCGTCGAACAAGAGAAAGAAGGAAGACGAAGATGAGATGATGATAAAAAGAGCTAATAAAGATTCTTCTTAAAATAAAAATATTAACATCAGCAATAATCTATATGAGGCTAAGAAAGAATGTTAAAAGAGGTGTTGTACTTTACATGGACATAAAGTCTCGAGATATTTGAATCAAATTAAGGCAGAATGAGCAAGAACAGATAAGAACTTGGGCGAATGAGACTGTTATGGTCCCTAAAGTTTTGCAACATATCCTCATGATTTGGTAATTCTAACCTCAAAATCTGAAAATTCTAACCTCAAATTTTGTTAATTTTAACCTCAAAATCTGAAAATTCTAACCTCAAATTTTGTTAATTTTAAACTTAAACTTTGTTAATTTTAAACTTAAACTTTGTTTATTTGAACCTCAAACTTTGTTGGTTTTTTAACCTCAAAATCTGAGAATACTAACCTCAAAATTTGACAACGCAAACCTCAAAATTTGACAACATTAACCTCAAAATATGAGAATCCTAACCTCAAATCTGAAAATTCTAACCTCAAACTTTGTTAATTTTAACCTCAAAATTTGAGAATACTAACCTTAAAATTTGACAACGCCAACCTCAAAATTTGGCATTTCTAACCTCAAAATTTGAGAATCCTAACCTCAAAATCTTACAATCCTAACCTCAAAATTAAGAAGTGTTTACCAAAACCCTTCCTAACCCTTAAATCCTCTCTAAACCGACCCAGAAAAAACTACAAAGTTGTTATTAAGAAACATTCAAATTAAAAAAGAATCGAGACGACTTAACAAATTATTGATCTGCCTATCTCTCGATATATAAACGAAGAAAAAAATAAGAGAAAATTTTAAAGATTTTAGTCGCTTTTTTATTACCCTCCATGTCTTATTATTATTCGCATGTGTGTGGCTTCAGACATTTATGAACATTCTCAATTTTCTGAGACGTCCATAAGGTGTTAAGTTATCATTCTGTTATTTTTATGGTTTTGGTGGAGATGCCATCTCGATGGTGATCATGATGGAAGAGATTTTCTGTGAGTTCAATGAAAAGAGGAGCTTGATTTGGAGAATTGCGTTTTATTCAAGAATTGCGTTTTATTCAAGAATTGCGAAAGATCTAGTATTGAGATAGAATCAGCACAGTCTGTGAACCAGATTTGACTCAAAACTAGTTTATAAAAAAAAAACTAGTAAAGTTCCAAACATAGTATACGCTCAGACTTAGTATACAGGAAGACCTGGTACAGACACTGACCAAAAATTTTTGGTTTTCTAACACAACTTAAAAATGATTCGGAGTTTGAAATAAAGCAAAGT